ATTAGAAGCGGGCGTCTTAAACCTCCAAGCCACCACGACTCATCATCTTGCGACTGCATCTCATCATTTCGACTGCACGTTTGGTGCGATGGCTGGGCAACCGGCTGCCGTGCAACGTGTCGTGGGTTTGATTCCCGCACGGAACAACACTTTGTGGTAACTAAAAATTGTTGTTTTGGGTCTGGGTGTAAATGAACCCACGACACAGGAGAAAATCCTAATGAGGAGCAATTTCTTTTAATAATTAAATTAAATTATTAATCTACTCTATTAACACAAAACAAAAATTAACGTATCAACGAAACAAAACCAAAAAACGATGTGTAAAATAAACAGTTAAACTGACCAACGTTTAACGTTTTAACTACAACTAATAACTATATACTTTCGCGCGTCGTAAGGTGCTCATGCGCAACCAAGCGACGGCTTGCGTGATTTGATACTTTGATACCGAGTCATGATAAAAAAATATTTGATCGGAAAGTATCAAGATTATCTGATATTCTCTTGATTGACGTATGCGCAAGAGTGTGACAAACGATGGCTTTTTTGCGAACTATTTGTCGGTTGTCGTAGCTTTTTTTTATGATTAGACAAATGGTTTAGTGTTTGTTGGATTAGTTAATTATTTGGAGCTCAACTGCCAAGACTGGGGGTTTTAGTTTTTTTTTATTATTATTTATTTATCGTATTTACAACAAGTACATGATTATCCATTTAAAATAGCAACCAAAATCCATTAAAGTTCGGTTCTTGCGTCTGTTAATGCAGGATTTCTTGAAAAATTCTCAATATTATATTCTATATCACATAATTATGGAATAGTTGGCGGTATACGGCAATAGGATCACTTCCTATTATATGGAGCTTATAGTAAAAGTGATGAAAAGTTTTAATGTCCTAATATTATATTTTTTATTAAAACCTGTCGACGATTTTCATCGTGCCCTAGTTTTGTTAGATTTTTAATTTAATAATAAATCGCAAGTGCGACTGCTAGGCAAGGGGTCTCGGGGTCAATTACCGGGTCAGGCAACGTACTACTGAGTTTTTAAAAAAAAATCTCAGAAGGTAGTAGCCCGGAGTCTGGAATCGTGCCCGGTATATGGCGATAGGCTCACCCCCTATTACATGGGACTCATAACATAAATAGGGATAAGTGATAACATTGTACTGTGGCATAATGTACCTCTGCCTACCCCTTCGAGAATAAAAGGCGTGATGTTATGATTATGAAAATAAAAAGGAAAACATAGCATTAAACTGTCATACACCAAGCGGTCACCGGTGACCGCAACCTATTATTCTATAATTGTGTCTATAATGACGGTACTCGACGAGTTAATATCAAAAAATAAAAATAAAATTCCAAGAAACATTATTACTCCTCGTAAAGAATTAATTTCTAAGAACATTCCCAGGGTATTTATGCAAATATGTCAACTATGGAACAATACCTCAACCTATTCCAACCTCAAGATGTATAGGAAATAATTAATCAAAAATATCATTTATTTAAATTCCTATAAGTGCCATATTTACCTACTCCGTCATACTTATCATAATGAGTATCAATCAATTCACATCACACAATTAAAATTACACTTTCATTCTAATGCATAAAATTCAAAATTGCAAAACATAACTGAAGTTGCAAATTATTTTTCACATAAACCATTATAAGTCTTAAATCGAAGTAATAAAATCGAATATTAAAAAATGAAATGCAAAGAAATGATTCCTAATTTAAATAATATCTAGGGTTGTCGCATTGTGATAACACTATAACAAAAGTAGGGTTGTCCAAAAATTTGCATACGCGACACCGCAGGCGATATTCCTTAAAAAATTACTTTTAAGAAAGGGTTGACAAACTCTATTGCAGTTGAAGACATCAAATTTGATTCTTATTTTATGGCAATAAGAGTTATACTGTAGTTTTTAAGTTTGTGATTTAAGTGGTTTTTCGTATTTGCTAATGATGCGTTCTGAATCGTTAAACAGGTTTTGTCTATTTAGTATACGATGCGCGAATCCTTTTCTTTAGTTTGTCTAATAACAAATGTTTTTTTTCTAAGGTTTGCTATGCAAATTTTGAAATTCGTGAGAAAAAATCTTAGTGACGCTCTTGAGAAATCGTGGGTAGCATTTTTTTTTTAATGAGAAAGATTCGAATTTTTTTGTTGTGAACATTTTGTATCATTAAAAATTATTCGTAATTAATTTTATAATATACCACCGTAATTATGTTTTAATCACCGATACAGACATTAGTCTGACATTTTACTCGTCATATGATGAGTCGCATTAGGTTATAATTTTTTTATTTTTTAAGGGGATAAATCATCGAATGACTGCTCCCGTCTGGGTGAGGCGGGAGAGAGTGTCAGACTCTTACTGACTAAAAACCACCCCGTTCCTATTCCTGCACTTCGAGCCAGAGCCCCGGTAACCCGTTAGGTTCTGTTATAATTAGGAGTATTAGGTACGTAATAGGGACTTTATTTCCATACTTTTAGATTTCAGACTTCATGTTATTCTTTAGAGTAACCACGGAGTTTCTTGCTTTGACTTATCCTTAGGAATCTACACTTTGGCACGACCAAATTTTACTAGGGGATTGATCATCAAACCGTCAACTCAAAACTCAAAACAACAAACGGCAACAGTCGCTTATACGGCATTATTTTTTTATGGGATAGGCCGGTAAAACTGCAGACGGATCACCTGATGGTAAGCAATTGGCACCGCCCATGAACACCTGAAACACTAGAGGCGTTACATGCTTATAACGCCTCTGGTGGTTACCGGCCTTTTGAAGATTAGAATTTGAGGATGTTTTGAGGATTGGGGAGTAATTTAAATGACTTGAGATTTTTTCCATACACCGATCAGTGAGGAATTGACCTCAAAATGGGTTTTTGACTGTAATTCATAGTTTTAACAGAGTCAAGTATTACATACCCTACCTACCCTTTCAGAGAACAACAATATTATGCAAATAGATTCCTAGATCATAATTATACAGCTAACAATTGCAGAAACAGCCATCAAAACAATTAAGAGCGACTGCTACTAATTGCTGCGATTATAATGCAATCGTACGACTATTTGCATAAAGTCGGATGTGAGTTGCGACTGTTCTGTCGACCATTAAATGCAGAATTGGCTTGAAGATACCTAGTTATAATGTTATTGAGATAATATTATACTTTTTTTTTTAAGGGTGAAAATCATCGAATGACTGCTCCCGCCTGGGTGAGGCGGGAGGGAGTGTCAGACTCTTACTGACTAAAAACCACCCCATTCCTTCTCCTGCACATCGAGTCGGAGCCCCGGTTACCCGTTAGGTTCTCCGCGATGAGATAATATTATACTGCGATGTAAAATTGGGTACTTTCCTTGATCAATAATAAATTAATTCGGTTTTTATAATTAGGTATCATAACTTCGTGCAAATAATAAGAATAATCTTATCCTCCATTTCCAGTCCCAAAGAGACTGGCGACGCATTTAGTATAACAGATGAGGAGTAATCGACCAACAATGCAGAAGCGTTTTTTATGGCATAAGCCGGTAAACGAGCAGACGGAACACCTGATGGTAAGCAATCAGCGCCGCCCATGGACAACCAAAACATCAAGGCGTTATAAGTGCGTTGCCGGTGTTTTGGTGATTAGGAATTTGAAGATTGTTGGGATTCGGGGATTGGGGAGATTGGGGAGGTAATTGGGCCTCCGATAACATCACTCACACGACGAAACACAACGTAAGTGTTGTTTTGTGCGGTTTTTTGTGAGGACGTGGTATCACTCCGGTCAAACCGGCCCATTCGTAGAACACCAGAGGCGTTACAATTGCGTTACCAGCCATTTGGGGATTAGGAATTTGAGGAATGTTGGGTGTTCAGGCATTAGGGAGATTGAGGAATGGGCGGGGGCTAGTCGGGCCTCATTCGAACGATTTTAAATTATTCATTGTTGTAAATGACAAAGTAATTTTATTTAGCTCTAAAATATATTGGCTTATAACTAAACCGAAGTCAATTTCCTGAATTAATACCATTTTATATTCATTAATCGATGTTTCTTTAATTAGACTTAATAAGAAAGATATTTATAGCGCAATATTTTAAAACACAGCTAAGCATTTAGTGTATTTTTATGCTTATTAGCTATCCTTAATAGTGCAGAACTGAGGTGTTCTTAACTAATGAATATTTAATAAATACAAACACGCATACATATATCCAAATGATTTAAGGACACACAATTACACGTCGAACTAAACAGACCAGTATATCATGGTCTAGCTTTGTAAGATCTTTCAATATATTCGAAGGTCAGCTTATAGTGGTTTGCCGTAGCTTGATGCACGGACCTATACTGACCAGTATATCACGGTCTAGCTTTGTAAGATCTTTCTATATATTCGAAGGTCAGCTTATAGTGGTTGGTGTAACTTGATATGTAGCCATGTCTCCATGCAAATACCTTTATGCATTATAGACGAATTTATGTCCTGTCAAATATCGATTGGTATATTGATAAAATTATTGTTTAAATGTTTTCTGTGGTTAGTTTTCAAATTATCGAGTTTAAGTAAGTATTGGTAACTAAGTATTGGTTAGGTTGGCATTGCAGTCATTAATGTCAATAGGTGAATATTATGTTTTCTAGGTGGCAATAAAACAATTTTTATGTCAATAGACAGTAGACTCATTCTTCATACGACGTAAGATTGTCGAAATAATGAATACGTTTTTTTCGATTAACAGCCGAATACTGAAAATCTAGGTACTAAATTTTAAGTTGTACTTAAACATACTTTAAGTAGTATTAACAGAACCGTATGTAATAGTATTACACCTAACAATTCCAATAAGTATTCAATAGACACAATAAAGAGATACCTTTTAAAATATCAGTAGCAAGATTTCCAATATAGTAGCACCAAAAACCTAAAACAAAATAATAAAAATACTAAGATCTAGGACTTACATCAACACCCCCATTGTTCCATGGTGGCAGTGCGTAGTGGGAGGGGTCATGGTGCCCCCCTCCCATGTGCTCCGCCATCACTGACATCCAGTGGACCAGACCCTGAGCACCGCCGCCGCCTGACGTGCCTGAAAACACCATTACCATTAAACCATGGAAAAATAACTCCTACTACGCGTTCACAACCAAACCATAACTGGTATGATAAGAATATATAGAGCAAATACTGTTCTAAAAACTACATCAAAATCAATTGGGCCAATAGTGAGAAACCGCAACAAAATCGGTTGAGCTAGTAGGGAGATAATCGCGAACAAATATACATACATGCAGGTTACAGTGAAATTTAAGAACTTATTTTTTTCTTCTTCCTAGTCGTTTTCTTCATTACTGAAGGTCGTGTCTAGTCTGGTGCACGCGTCACTTGATGCACAACCCTCCTCCAAACGCCCCTGTCCTCTGCGGTCTTTATGGCTTGTGGAACTATCAGGCCGGTTAGGTTTTTTACAGCATCCAACCACCGGGTAGGTGAGCGACCACGAGGTCTTTTCCCGTTAACCCGACCAACAACCACAAGCTTCTCCAGATTGTTGGGGTCTCTACGCGCTATCTATTAGGTGATTATTGTTTTTTGAAGTTCAAGGGCTTTTGTCCTGTACCCCAAAAACTATAATGTAGATAATGTTAAAAATAAACAGTAAAGAATCGAACCTGTCGGCACGGCGGCGGGCTGCGCGGCTGCCTGGTCCTGCCCTCCACCACCTGTGACCCCCCCTCCACTCCACACGAACGCTGAAGATGCACCCGCCTTCTGAAACAATACCAAACACTGTTTAGTCACCTGTTGATGACCCACTTAAAGACAAACATGCAGATTATTATCGTCAACAGTCCATTACAGCTCACTGCTAGACTAAGGCCCTAACTCCTTCTCCCATAAAAGGGGTAACTTGCAAATATTTTTGAGTCCTTCCACCATATAAACTTACTGCAAACTGACTCTAAGATTGCAGTTTCAGTCTGTCTAACCCAGTAGTTCCCAACTGGTGGTCTGTGGACCAGTAGTGGTCGACAGAAGACAAAAATTGGCCCGGGGTATTTAAAAAAAACTCAAGCCTATTCTGTCCAATGTGTCATGGTTGAACCTCAAATTAAACTGAGAGCAGCAACTTATTTCAATAGTTCACAAGTCACTATTTTTATGAGTGAAGGTGATTACTTTAATAGCACATGAAAAAAGTAATAGTACAGTTGTACAGGCCCCTAACCTAAAAAAGATGATAAAAGTGATCCTTGCTCAGGAAAAGGTTGGGAACCCCTTTTTTTAACAGCTCTGATAGTGAATTGTTCAGATTCTATATATCCTAGATTCGTGTTCTACAGACGACGCTTTCAAGATTCTAAAAGTAGTTCTAGCTGGATTGGTAAAATAAAGAAAATGGTCCGATCATTAGTCATTATACAACAAAAGTATTAGAAGAAATCTGTACGTGAAACGAGGTGAAATAAAATCCACGGAACATATCCAATAAGTAAATAGTGTCTTATTAGAAATAAATCTTATTAGAATTTAAAAGTCATTCTCCTATACAAAGCATTTAAATTTCAATTTCAATTAAGACTCTAAGAGATGTATTTTGTATCTGTCAGTACAATAAGAACGTTCTACTTCATCCCTTCCTTAAATTACCTCATCCGGCGAATCAGTAACTCGATCCCCATTAGTTTCATCATCAGACGCTTCTAGTCCAAAACTATTAGAGAACAGCATATTCCTTGGATACAGAGAGTAGCACTCAGCCATATTCCGTCTCCTCTTCCCAAGACTTGCCAAGAAGCTCTTGTATAATTGGGTTGGCAGCAAGAAAGGCGTATTCTGGAATCCATCCTTAAATCCCAAATTCTGGTTTCTAAACGGGTTACTAAAATCGAATTCTGGTAGGAATTCTTTCTTGATAAAATCTGCTACTGGATGCATGGATAAAGCGTTTTCTGTGTAATCCAACGCAGCAGTAGCATCCTCGTTTGGACCATTGTTTTCTAAGTCACTCGTTTCTGAGTTTCCATCACTGGAATTATTGCTATCAATAGGGTCCATCTTGTTTTCGTCAGTGTTAAAATCTTCAAATTCTCTCTTCATTTGCAAATTCATTGGATTCTTCATAAAAAGATTTGAATTTGTTATCGTCACTGACATTCTTGGCACTATATTACTTATAAATATATCACTATTTATCACTAGTGTCTATTATATAATTTTTCAAAATAAAAATAAATATATCTTCGTAATTATGTAGGTAATTATAGGAACTATCGTTGGGTAGGAGGTGTCTGTATCAAAATTGAACTTTGTTAGTTTATTTCTTTGGTTTAGTTTTCTTCGCCCGTCTCGCAATTTTATGATTTTTTTAATCCTGATCGTGATCGATAAGTATTTTAAACAAAAAAATTTTAAATGTTTTATTAATGGCAGTATTTTGTCTAATCCATTCATCCCTCACACAACCATACTATCAAACTCAAATAGAATAAAAAAATACATTTTAACTAAAGAACCCCCGCTTAAATGTCAGATGACGTCAGAAATGTCAAAAGTCAACAGAAATAAAGAAACAAAATGGACGATCGATGTTTCGTTTTTATTTTTGGAATCAGGTCATTGAAGTAAAAATAATGTTGTGAAAGGTCTGAAAGGGCGTTTGGAAGGCTAAGTCTAGAACATTACCTGTATTAGGGTTACCTATAGAAAGGGGTATAAGTTCTTAATTTGGTTTTGATATTTAAATGATGGTCTTTTGTTTTTTATGCTGTTGCTGGATACGGTGATCGATTCATACCAATAATTTTAACTGATTGACAAGAACATTGAATTGAACTGACAGTATTGTTAGATTTATACAATAATCTAAGTTTAAAACAACGTTATGTTGAGTTGCAAATGAAACTGTTGAGCTGTGCCTCAAGTTCAGTTTTCGTCTTAAGTAAAATGTTGTCATTTTCATAAAATCTTAATTGTTCAATTATCTATATCAAGTTACTCTGGATTTTATGACTGCTATAAATTATTACAGGCAAAAATATTTTGTATTTTGATTCCTACAATTAGTGGATTTAAGTATAGTGCTACAGAATGATATCTTAAACTGTCAAACACCAAGCGGTCACCGGTGACCGCAACCTATTGTTCTATAATTGTGTCTATAATGACGGTACTCGACGAGTTAATAGTAAATGTAGATATGGAAAACCCTTTGTTACTCGTCGAAAATTGAATAAGAAATATAATATTTATTTAAAAGAAAACGTCCTCAAGAGAGTATGTTCTGAATCAGACCTAGGTCAGGTAGATGTAACCTAAAAACCTAGATTTCTTACTAGTTGAGATTTGTGCTCTAAAAGTTGTAGCGCATTTTCGCGGATATGTCTTTTTTGTGTACCTTAATACCTTCATATTGAGTCAAATATTGTAGGTGTATGTAAGATGGCTGTTAAAAAACAGTTTTTTATATTAATACGTTGATATATCGTACCGAAAATCCCCAAAATTTGTTCATACAAAAGTAGTCTCTAAACATCGGATATAAGGTCTATAATGGAGTTAGAGGTCACCGGTAACCGCTTGGGGATTGAACAGTTAAAGACTAGCTGAGTCAGTGAATTTAGTAGCACTTTATTTTTTTTCTGACCTTTTAAACCAAAATTAGTCAAATCGGTTCAGACATTCTCGAGTTTTAAGGAGACTAACGAACTCAAATTCATTGTTATTTATATTCATATTAGAATAAACATTGAAGCCATTATACTAGCTGAATTTTTCTAATAAGACTAGATCAAGAAATACATTTAATTTTCCAATTTGTCGTTCTAATTAGAATTCGTGTTTTTCCAGTAACTTTCAATAAGAAATCCTCCATATTAAAAAGTAATGAGCGAAGAAAACAACATGAAAAAGCGATTAATAAAAGCAAGAAAGAGGAGAGAGACAGAGGAGAAAGAGAAGAGATACATAGAGAGGGAAAGAAATATTTTATGAACACTAATATAAGTAAAAATATTCTGTGATTCAACGGTGGAATAAGTAGTTATATGTCGAAACATACTTATACATTTTTATCATAATAAATTATATTAGTCAAAAGATCAAAACAGGAAAACTCAGCACTGCTTACTATGAACAAAACTCCTGTTTTGACTGGAGTAGGAGGCCAAACGAGCAGACGAATTACCTGATGGTAAGCGATCGCCGCCAACCATGTACACCCGGTACACCAAAGGAGTAACAGGTGCGTTGCTGGTCGATTTTCTTGAGGGTCGATGGCGAAGAGACACAGCAGATATCAGACCAAACAATTCCTCAGAACATTCTCCGTGGTATAAACAACAGAAGACTACTACTGCTTCAGATAGAAGCCAAGTAGGTGTATACCAGTTTTATAGGTTTATTTAATATGACTGTGGGAGTCGTCAAGTCTCACGTAAACGTATATAAATACGTTTTGATGGATACTTAAATAGTAAAAATAAGAGGAAAGAGACTGTCCTTTGTGGTAGATATAAGGGGGTTTCTTTTGTTTTCGGAAACAGTTGACAAAGCATATAACAATAGATATACCTGATGCTTCATAACTCAATGAAAAAATTTGATAAGGTAATAGGACTATGTCTAGGGGAGGTCTATGTTCAGCAGTGGACGTCTTATGGCTGATATGATGATAGGACTTTTTATGATTGCTCTAGGAATAGTTGAAGAAGAGTAAAAAGATACAACAATAAGTATTTTGAATAGACTTTGCTATTAAAATCAGTTGGAATAAATTTTACTTACCTTGAAACGAAGAGACATAACATAACATGACATCACGCCTTTTATCTCCGAAGGGGTAGCCAGAGGTGCACACAGAAGTAACACCCACTTTTCACTATTTATGTTATGAGTCCCATGTAATAGGGGTGAGCATATTGCTATATAACGGGCACATTTCCAGACTCCGTGCTACTACTGAGGTTTTTTACAAACCTAGTAATACTTTGCCCGATCCGAGAATCGAACCCGAAACCCCTTGCCCGGCAGTCGCACTTGCGAACACTCATCCAATAAGGCATGTGTAGTAATTCCAATTGGACCATAATAGAAAATTTTGGGCAGTCAAAATTACAAAGTACTATTCTATTATGTTTACTCTAACTAGGCAATCATTAAAAAAATTAAACAATATGTACTTCTCAAAACATTTACTTTTATAGAGAAGAACGATTATAAAACTCATACCAATAGAAAAAAGAAACGACTGCCTCGTTGGCCGAGTGGTCGCAAGTGCGACTGCCGTGCAAGGGGTCTCGGGTTCGATTCCTGAGTCGGGCAAAGTATTACTGGATTTTTAATTCTCAGTAGTAGCACGGAGTCTAGAACTGTGCCCGGTATATAGCAATAGGCTCACCCCCTATTACATGGGACTCATAAAATAAAAAGTGAAAAGTGGGTGTTACATTGTACAGTGGTATAATGTGCACCTCTGCCTTCCCCTTTGGGGATAAAAGGCGTGATGTTATGCGTTATGTACCAATAGAAATTTGTAAGTACAATTTATCAACAACATTTTTTCTAGAACACCCTTATTCTAAACAACAATGTTGTATAAGATTAATACATTTAAAAATAATTTACTAAAATGACCCTGGCCTAGAAAAACTAAAATAAATAGGTACAACAAACTCCTTTGTTACTACGATACCCATCTCAGCTTTCTTTGTGCAAACTAATTTGAACTTTAATTTTAGCTGTATAACAAATGAAATTGCTCGCAAAAGTAT